ACCCCCCTGCCATGGGGAGAGGTCAGGGGGCTGACAGCCCTCCCCATATCGGCAGGGGGACAGCAGCATCCGCTACTTTGAGATCACGGACGAGGCGCCCTACGTGCACTACCTGAACACTTACAGCAGCAAGGAGCCACAGCGTGGCATGGGCTTCATGCCCAAGAGGGGGCTGGATGTCAGCAAGTGTGAAATTGCCAGGTTGGGGCTGGAGGGGTCTGGGGGGGGGGCGACAATGGGAGAGGCCATCAGACCCCAACCACCTCTGCCCCACTCAGGTTCTTCAAGCTGCATGAGCGCAAGTGTGAGCCCATCGTCATGACGGTGCCACGCAAGGTGAGCCCTCGGGCACCTCCTGAGGACAGAGGGGTTTTAGGGACAATGGGGTTTCAAGGGGGAGAGTTGAGCGCCCCATCTCACTGTGCCCCCACGTTGCCCCCACAGTCAGACCTCTTTCAGGACGACCTGTACCCCGACACGCCGGGCCCTGAGCCGGCCCTGGAGGCAGATGAGTGGCTGTCAGGGAAGGACGCGGAGCCCATCCTCATCTCGCTGCGGGACGGCTACGTCCCCGTCAAGAATCGGGAGCTGAAGGTGGTCAAGAAGAACATCCTGGACACCAAACCCCCCCCGGGCTCCCGCCGCAGCTCCACTTCCATTACCGACATCTCTGTGAGTGTCCCATCACCTCCCCAGGGGATGTGGCACCCTACAGGGACACCGGCCCATGGGGGGCATCGGCCCATGGGAACATCGGTGCATGGAGATGTTGGTCCATGGCGGATATTGACTTATGGAGTTGCTGTCCCATGAGGGCCCTTGGGGATGTGGCACAGGGCTGTCCCCTTCTTCAGGGGCTGACGGCCACGGCGGGGTTCTGCATGCACAGCACCGACCCTTTGTGTCCTCCCACAGACCCCCGTCCTGGACGAGGTGCTGGAGGAGATCCGGGTGCTGAAGGAGACGGTGCAGGCGCAGGAGAAGCGCATCTCCGCTCTGGAGCACAAACTCTGCCAGTTCACCAATGGCACGGACTGAGGCACGGGTATGGGACTGCGCCCAGCCCAGCATTAAACCACATCCCGCAGCGGGCAGGAGGCCACAGCCATGTTCTTTCCCCAGGAGCTGTTGGAGGTGGGGGGGGTCGGACTCTGGACCTCCCCACCCCATTTTACTCCTAGGGTGCCAGAATGCATTTGGTGACTTTCGTACATGGGGGTCCCTCCTGGCAGCCATGGGTGCCAGGATGGGGGTGTTGGTCCCCCTCCCAGTGCTGGGGTACGGTGCCAAACCCCACCCTGACCCCACAGCTCCTCAAACTGGGGGCTTCATACTCCCAGCACCCCCCATTAATAAAGGGCTTGGGTCTCCTGTGGCCGTACCAGGGATGTGGGGCTGCTGCGGGGGAGCTCTGCCTGCACCCCCCCCAAACCAGGCACAGAGAGGCTCCTCTCAGAGCATTTATTGGTGTTGGCCACGGTCAGAGCTGCTCAGGCTCCCCCTGGCCCTGGCCCAGACGTCGCTTGTGGGGTGCATGGATGGGGGGAGGGGGTGCCACTATGAAAAGTCCCTTTGGGGGCAACCCCGCAGTCCCCCCCCGTGTGCAAAGAAGGAACAGCCCGGGGTGAGGAGGTGGGGGCCCAGGGTTTAGCACCATTTGATGTAAGGTTTTACCAGGGGTGGGGGGCAGTGCCCGGGATGAGGGGGTGCAGCGCTGCCATGGTTGGGGGGGAGCATCCGAGCAAGGCAGAGAGGGTGCAAGCACAAGATGAGGTGGTGACACCGGGCATCCCTTTGCGGGCCCCCCCCTTGGTTGCCCCCTTGGCCTGGGGTGAGGCCATAGAGCCCCACATGGGCTGAGGGGTGCAGTGGGGCTGAGCCCCCCCTGTTGGCAGGCAGAGCAGCTCCCGGGTAAGTGCACTTGGTAGCGCCTGGGCAGTGGGGCCAAGGGGGGGACAGAGCCCCATGGCTCTCATGGTGTCCCCATGACTGGGGAAGAGTGTGACCCCCCGCCTCCCTGGGGTCAGATAGGGGGGGCAGCATGCAGGATACACCCCCTGTTCCCTGCCACCCCCAGTGCCCCCCAGCACTCACCCCTGCCCCGGCTACGGGGCTGATGCAGCCCCCCTATTTGTCCTCTGCACGGACCGTCCCCCCACGCACCCCTCTGTGCCCCATACACACGTCCCCAGGCCCCAAGTCGGTGTAGGGGGGGCTCAGTGGGGTCGGGGGGTCACTTCTCCATCAGGGAGAGCTGCAAGATGCGCTGCAGCTCCTCTTCCTCCTGCCGTGTCCGCCGCTCGGCCTCCTCCTGCTCCCGCGCCGACAGCGCCATGGCCAGGCGCAGCTGCTCCGCGTAGCTGGGAAACAGCGTGCTGGGCCCCCCGCCGCCCCCCGGCGCCGGGCTGGAGGGGGGTCTGGGGGCTGCCGTGTGCTGGGGAGTCCTGGGGAGGCACGGCCCGACCTCAGCCTGGTGCCCCAGAGGGACCCAAGGGGATGGGACCTGCTCCCACACCCCCGGACCTTACCAACCTGTCTCCCCGGCGTCCCTCGTGCGACATGGGGTGGGTGCCTGGCTTGCTGTTGGTCAGTGCTTCCCAAATGGTGACCTGGAGGAAAGGGAGGAGAGGAGGGGTCAGAGAGGGGGGTGAAATTTGGCTCCAGTGTGGCCCGCAGGGGAACGGAGCAAGCATGGATGGTGGGATGGGATGTTGCTCATGGGATCCTAGTGACTGGGGGGAGGGATGAAGAGGTGGTTTGATGAGGATAAGAAGGATGAAGATGAAAAAGATGAGGGTGTTGGGTGAGAACAACATTGGATGACGTTGAGGAAGATGAAGATGTTGGATGACATTGAGGAGGACCAAGATGTTGGATGAGGATAAGGAGAAAAGCTGGATGAGGAGAAAGAGGATTTAGGAGGAGAAGGAGGATGCTCAGAATGATGAGAAGGATGTTGGATGAGGAGGATGAGAATGAGGAGGACAAGGGTATTGGATGAGAAAAATGTTGGATGAGGGGGATGAGACTGAGGACGCTGGATGAGAAGGATAAGATAACGTTGGATGAGGCCAAGGAAGATGAGACGGCTGAGACTGTTGGATGAGAAACATGCTGGCTGAGGAGGATGAGGAGGGGGCTCTCCCCACAGCGCCCACCTGGTCATACTCGCTGCCTGCTTCCAGCAGGCTCTGCTGGATGGCAAACTGCAGCAAATCATCCTCATCCTCCCGCAGAGCATCCTGGTGGGTGCCCACCACGCTGTACCCCCGTGGCACCTCAAAGAGCGCCGGGTCCATCTCACACGCCCGGCAGGACGCTGCAGGGAGACAGGTGTGGCTGGGCAACCAATGCCCCTGTGCCCCCCACCCACCGCATGCCCTCGCCCCCCCATGTACTCAGGGAGCTGGAGCTGCTGACACTGGAGGAATCGCTGCTGGGCGAGGGGGCCTCACTGCTGGGGCTGTTGCGCAGGGAGCTGACGGGCTCATCGCACCCATTGAGGTTCCCAAAGGTGATGCGGGCATTGAGGATGTGGAAGATGGGGATTTCTGCCCGTATTAAAAACAAAAGAATAACAAAAAAAAGAGCGAGGAGGGAAGCTGGCTGTGTGCCCCACTGGACTGGTAAAGGCCCCCTCCCCGTGCCGTCCCCCATACCAATCTTGACAGGGAAGCCGGGCGGGAGGCGCAGAGTGATGAAGTCACGCAGCTTGGCGAAGAGCGCGTTGCTGATGGCCATCAGGTCGATGATGGGGGCCACCTGCTCACAGAGGGACAGCGGGTGGTCCTCGCACAGCCACAGCTTCGCCTTGAACCTGCAGTGGAGGGGACAGGCGCCAGGATGGGGGCCCCGGGAGCCCCGCCATGGCAGCATGGTGTCGTTGGGGTCCCCTCTTCCCTCCCTGCTCGCCCCCCTCACTTCTGCGTCTTGGTGGTGAGCTCCATGGGCCGTCCCATGTCCCTGTTGCCCAGCTCGAAGTTGGGGTTGAAGTACTCCTCAGGGGTGATGGCGGTGGGGTTGGTGTGGCTCAGCGTCTGCGTGATCAGCGTCTGCGGGGACAGCGGTGCAGTGATGGTGGCACAGCTGTGGGGGTGGCACAGCCATGGGGACCCCCTAGCACACTCACCCCATTGTTGGGCCCCACGTGCTGCTCAGCGATGCCCAGGAAGGACTGTAGTGGGGTCTTACTGCCTGCAAGACAGGGCGTGAGGCCGAGCACTGCAGCCCTGTGCCCACCACCACCCCACGCGCTACCTTTGCTCTTGCCCTTGTGCTGGTCTGAGAGGTGCTCCGTCCGCGTCCGTGTGATCAGCTCCACGTTGGACGCGCCGTAGACCTGTCCAAGCAGGGAGAATGTCAAAGGTTCCCCAAAAAACAGCTGTGCCCATTGCAGCTCAGCCCCCTGCCCCTCACCTTGGCCTCATACCCATTCACCATCTCTGTCTTCTCACTTCTCCAACCCAGAATCCCAGATTTGTTCCTGGGGGCGACACGGGATGCTGTCAGGGAGGGATGGGATGGGTTGGGATGAGATGGTTGGGATGATTTGGGATGAGATGATTGGAATGGAATGAGGTAGGAGGGGATGGGATTGGTTGGGTTGGGTTCAGATGCTTGGAGTGAAATGGGATGGGATTTATTGAGTTCAGTTAGAATGAGTTGGGTTGGGTTGAGATGGGATGGGATGGGTTGGGATGGGTTGGGTTGGGATGGGTTGGGTTGGGATGGGCTGGGATGTTCCCACTTGGATAGCCAGATATGTGAGCAAAGGGTTGACCAGCAATGTCCCTGCCCACCTTTCAAAGGCGATGTTCTTGGTATCAAGCTGGGTGGTGACGACGGGGGCTGTGAGCCGACCCATCACCTGCTCCTCCGTGGGCTGCACAGCAGCCAGCAGCACCTCCTGGTCGTGGCCGGCCAGGGCCAGTGTCTCCGAGTAGACCACTCGCCGGTCATGGTCAATCTCCATCACCACTGCGCTGGTGTCTGTGGGGAGGGGGTGTTCAACACAGCGACAGCTGTGATCCTCCACAGCATCCCCCAGCCCCCTCCTCACCTTGTCCCCTGAAGACAAAGCTGCGGTTGCCCCGCTGCCAGGTCATATGGTCAAAGCCCAGCAGCGTGGTGTCCACCCGCAAGTTCTGGCCGCTCTTCCACACCTTGTACGTGTCACTGGGGCAGATCTTGGACACCAGTGGCACTGGGGGAAGACGGCGATAGCCCAGCCAGGGATGGGGCCACCCTGTGCCTCCCAGTGGGCTGCAAGCACACTGGGAAGCTCCCACTCTGCCCGAGCTTACCCCAGCTGGTGAACTCCCACTTCATCTCCACATAGAAGTCCTGGGCCTGCCAAGAGCGGTGGAGTGGGCAGGGGCCCAGCAGTGATGCCCCCAACCCCGAGGGCTCCCCCAGCCCCGGGTACCTTGCGCAGCTTCTCCAGCAGGATGGGGATCCCAGCCAGGCGCTTGATGGCTCTCTGGTAGTCACGGTAGCGCAGGACCAGCTGCACCAACTCGAGGTCACGGGTGCTCACGGCCTCCTGTAGCACTGCAGGTGGCACAGCACGGTGCAGCACAGTGCAGAGCGGCACGGCGCGGCACAGTGGGGCACAGCACGGCACGGCACGGTTCAATACGTGGCGTGGAATGGCACAAGGCGGCGCAACACGACGTGGTGCAGCACAGCATGGGATGGCACAGCGGGACGCAGCACGGCGCGGTGCAGCATGGCACAGTGCGACTCGTGCTCCCCTTGGGGACCAGGCTGTCCACATCGGAGGCCCCGCTCACCTGTCCAGCCGCTGCGGTTCTCTTTGCCCACATCAGCTCCATGCTTCAGCAGCACCCGGGCGCACTCCAGGTGGCCCAGTGTGGTGGCCAGGTGCAGCGGGGTGCGTCCTCGGGGGTCCAGCTGCTCGATGTCGGCCTGGTGGGGGGCATTGGAGCTCAGGGAAGGGCGGGCTGTCTACGACTCCCTTCCCACACCCTCCCACAGCCGCATCTCCATCCGACACAGCCGCAAGCCGGGGGAAAGCCCCCACCTCTGTGGCTCTGGGGGGAGCCGTGGCCCAGTTGCCAGGCAGCAGCTGCCGGCAGCCCCCACCGCGGCACGGCGGGGCGACGCGGGCGCACGTGTTCCCCGCGGATCAGCAACCGGGGGCGGGCAGTGCTGCGTGAGCGGAGCGGCTGCTGTGAGCATCCCCGGCTCCGGGGAGCCGCGCTGGGGCTGTTTGTGCCAAGCCCGGGGGTTGGCAAGGGGCCAGGCACCAGGAATCCCCCCTCCTCCCCCCCCCCCCCCCCCACACACACACATACACGGCCCCAGCTGTCCCCGAGGCGGCGATGCAGCCAGCACCCCATGCAGCATTGCACCCACAGGGCAGCGACCACCTGGGATGTCCCCAGCGCTGGGTGTCCCCATGGCTGCATCCCCAGGGGTCACTGGGTACTGGGGACCCCCAGGTTCCCTTTAACAGCCCCTCCACTCCCCAGGAGCCTGCATGCTGCTCCAACACTCTCCAGGCGACTGCTGCTTCTTAATTGCACTAATGAAAAGACTCTAATTAAAGTGATTGCCCCCCAGCTGGGGGACGGGTGCTGCAGGCTCTGTGGGGTTCCCCAGCTGCATCCCTGACCCAGTGCCGTGGGGGGGACTGGGGCCACTGATTTGGGGACACAACATCAGAGCCAACCCCACGGGACATGGCATGACCCAATTTTTGCCATCAGCTCTGAGCCCGGGGGGGGCACAGCTGTCTGTCCTGGCACATGTTTGGGGCGGTGGCAGTGCCGTGTGGGGCTGCAGCATGATCACCCATTGTCCCTCAGCCCCACAGGCCGTCCCCCAGTGTTGGAGACTCCAGCACAGGCACAGAGTCCAGCTCCTATGGCAGCAGGGGACGCGTGGCTTTGCAGGGTGGCGGTGCCATGTGCTGCTGTCCCTGCATAGCCCTGGGGGCAGTGGGGTCCCCGCAGTGTGGAATGGGGCAGGCAGTGGGGCACAATGGGGCACAATGGGCTCCATCTCAGCCACATTCTCACGCTGTTCCCACCGCCTTCTGCCCCCCCAAGGCGGAGCCAAGCGTGGCCTGGCGCCTGGCGGTGACATTCAGCATAACCCACACGTGGCCCTTTGTGGGCTGCCAGCCCTATAGGCCCACATGTTCCAGAGGGGCCACATGTGGTGCTGCTGCCCCTACAGGGGTCCCCAGGCAGAGGACAGCAGCCCCCAGCATTGCCTTTTCAGCCCAGGGATGCTCTGATATGCAGAGGGCTGCACTGTGTCCCTGGATGCCCCTGGGTGGAGGTGGGGGGCTCAGACCAGGCTGCACCCCCTTCTTCCCCCAAATCCCCTCTAAACCTGGGGTCAGGCCTGCAGCACCCATATCCCCTCCCATGTACCTGGCCTGCTTACAGGGTCAACATTGCTCTCGCTCTGACAACAGGGACACAGAGGGAGGTAAGGGGGCCAGAAGAAGATCCCCATTGAGCAGGGCGTTCACTTAGAGCACCCCCCCCCGGCCAGCAGCATCCCACACTCAGCTTTGAGCTGCACTGCAATGGGGAAAAATGACCCCAGATGACCACAGGTATAAACACAGTGGTGATGGGGCAGGGGTGTAATACCGGCAGACAGGCAGCCCCCCCCCCAGATGGCCCCACAATGGAAACGGGTGTGGTGAGAGCATCCCTGCATCCCAACGGCAGCATCATAGCATGAGGAGACCCCTGCCCACCCACCCTGGTGGGCCTGCAGCACCCCAGGTGCTGGGGAGGCAGGTGGCAGTGACTGTGGCTGTTGGGGGGGGGGGGGGGGGGGAGGAAGGCATGGCCTCCTCCAGCGCCTGCGGTTTCCTGCGTCTTCAGGGTTGGGTTTTAATTACCTGAATTGCAACGCCAATGGGGAGATGGAGGCTGGGAGCGGGGGGAGCACACAGGGAGGGTGCCCCCACCCTGCAGAGAACCTCCTGGCTGCCTGGGGCTGGGAGCTGCGCTCCAGCAGAGCAGGGCCTTGAGAGCCCCTCCCCTACCTCCAAGGGTGGGCAGCTGGGGGGGCTGTGTTGGCTGCACCCCACCTCTGGGGAGGGAGAAGGAGAAGCTGGTGGGGGGGGGGGGAGGGGGGGAAGCACAGAGGCCTAGGAGGGAGCGGGGGACACGTGGGGAGGGATGTGGGGGGTTGGAAGCGGGGGGATCCGAGATGGGGGGGATCTCTGCTGCTCCGGTGGCAGCTGTCACAGCGCTGGGGGGGCACGAAGGGACCCCAACCCCCATCAGCATCACCGCGGCAGGAGGACCCCATCCTCATCCCTTTCCTCAGCCCCAGCCCCGGCCGCAGCCCAGCGTTGCATCAGCTCGAACCGAACGCCCCGCACCGCCCCGCACCGCCGCCCCACCTGCTTGGCGCTGAGCTCTCGGTCCAGCTCCCGGGCTCGGTTGTGCCAGACGAGGTAATGCAGCGGGTATCTGCCCTCCGGCCCCTTCCTGCCCGAGCAAGACGCGAGCATCCTCCGTGCATGCTGGAGCGGCGGAGCGGGGCGCGGGGCGGGGCGGAGCGGGGCGCGGGGCGGAACGGGGCGCGGAGCGGTGCGGGGCGGTGCGGGGCGGGGGGGTTGGGGGGGGGGTTTGTGGGAGCCGCCCGGACGGTGCTCCCCCCGCATCCCCCCCCCTCGCCGCCCGGCCTCATGGGACTTGTAGTCACCGCGCGCGGCGTCGCCCCTTCCTCCTCCTCCTCCTTTTCCTCCCCGCACCCCCCCGCCGGCTCTATGCCCCCCCCGTGTGTGGGGCTGCACAGGGACGGCTCCGTAGTGCCCGAAGGCACAACCCGAATTCTGATCCTCCCTTCCTTCCCCCCAACGCGGCTCTCCCCACCCACGGGCGCTCAGCACGCGGCGCGACCCCCGCGATGAGCCCAGGGGGGTGCCGACCCCCCCCCGGCCCCGTTTCCCTTTCCGTCCTCGTCCCTCCGCTCGTGTTTTCCGGCAGCCGCCCGAGAACAATGCGAGGTTGGGACCCACGGCTGCCCCCCCCCGCCCCCCCCCCCCCCGCCCCTATGGTGTTCCGGCGGGGGGACCCCGCCCCCTCCCTGCCCTGAGGGAGGGCTGTGGCCGCTCCCCCCCCAGCCCACCCCGGGTCCCGCTGCCCCATGACGTCACGGCCATGCAGCGGTGAGGTCAGCGCCGTGCGGGTGGCAGCGTGACACGGCGGTGCTGATGGGGGTCCCCAGGGCAGGGAGTGCCCCCCGACCCCATTCACCCAAGGCCCCAGAGATACCCCCCCCCCCAGTGTGCTGCATTCAGCCATTGTGGGGATGGGGGTGCGAGTGGCACTGGGGTCAGGATTTGAGGTGACTGGGGCCTGGGGGGGAAAAGGGGTGCGAGTGGGAGCAGGACGGAGTGCTGGGCTGAGAATGGGGCTGGGGCAGGGCTGGGGGGTGCCTGGAACCACAACTGGGACATGGGCTGGGTCAGAACCGAGAGCAGGACATGGACCAAAGCTAAAACCAGCACCAGTGGATGCGCCAGAGCGAGACCAGCCCAGAAGCAGAATCAGGATCAAATTGTGAGTCGGAACCAGGCCCAGAGGATGTCCAGGATCAGGGTCACTATCTGACAAGAACCAGAGGATGTCCGGGACGAGATCAGGACCAGGACAAGGTCCAAGACTAACCCAGGACCAAGACCAGGAGCAGGGGATACCCAAAACCAGGACCAGAATTAGAAGCAGGGAACAGAACCAGGACGGGGACGAGAACAAGGAGACACACGGGATCAGGACCAGAACCGGGACCAGAACCAGAGGACGATCAGAGCCGGGATGAGAACCAGGACCAGGACGGGGAGCCGACCAGGACGAACCCCGAGCCGCCCCTCAGGGCCGCCCGGCCGCAGCTCCCCCTCCAGCAGCCGGTGCGGCGCTCAGGGCGTGCCGTGCGCTGCGCTGCGCGGCGCGGGGCGGTGCGGGGCGGCGGCGCTCGGTGCTCGCGGGGCGGAGACGGCGCTGCCCCTCCTCCGCCGGGGCCGGGCCTGAGCCGCTTCCTGCGGAGCCGCCGGGGCTGCGAGCAGCCGGCAGGGCAGGCGGCAGGGAGGGCGAAGCAGCCCCGGGCCCCGCCGCCCCCCCCCCTTCCCTCCCCTCCCCCAACCCAACTCCCCCCTTTCCCCGGCCCCGCACCGCCCCGCACCGCGCTGGCGCAGAGGCCCGGACCCGCCTCGCCGCTAAGGATGTCCCGGAAGGCGCAGCGGGCGGAGGTGTGCGCGGACTGCAGTGCCGCAGGTAAGGGCCGCGCCCGCACCGCCCCGCGGCTCCCGTTGGCGTTTCCGCCCCCCGGG